GCGCTAGACTATGTTTTCTGACGTTAGTTCCTACATGCCTCAGCAGCTTTCTATTCTCGATAAAATTTTCCAGTTTCGCGCAGCATTATTTCGATCCTAGTTGTGAAAGATATTCCTCAAATTTCCTACGTGTAAAAATCCTATGTTTTAAACTCATTACGGATGGTCTTTCCAATGAGATCTTTTTTATGCATATGACAATAATGCTAATCAAAATTACGGACATGAAATACTTAGAACTTTTCGAGTCACATCCACTCATTCTAAATCTTTGTCGAAATAGTCGCCAAAAACTGTAGGGAATATTTCAAGATTTACCCCTAACTTGAACCCCACTGTGATCATACACTAAAGTACGGTGGCGTCCAAAGGGAAGGAAGCTAGAGCAAAAGAGTCGCCAACAAGTTTTAGGAACTTGTAAACCGTTCACGAGGTGAAGGTTACACCCCTTAACGATCCAGGAGATTGTCAACTCCAATAGCTCTGGAACCATGACTTGTAGTTTGGGGATGAAGGTACAAATCAAACCTAAAAGAGATTGAACCGGCCCTAACAATAGGGCTCTACTTTATTCTGATCGTATTCATGTGCGCTTTCTGACTAACATGCAATCAATAGGATTAACCTTAAACCTGTTTATCTATGTTAGTTGAATATTAATGCACAAGTAAAACTATTATTAGCGATCACATGAATTATAATCAAATTAACCCTAAACAAGATTATTAATTATCTTATTAAGCATGATTACAAGTACCAATTTCCTTTAAACATGCATAAAAGGCGTGATCAAACAATAACAATAAATATCATATCATGCAACATCATAATAATAAATAACAATTATCACTACTACATTTTTTATCAAATGCCACGGCCAAATAAAGGCTAATGCAACGGTATTTTTATTGCCGTTGCAATAGAGTAGGCTAATGCGACGGATTCAGTATTAATGTTGTATGAAGTAGAGCTATTACCACGGCTCTAATGAACCGTTGCATCAGCCTAGATATTTCAACAAAAAGGAAAGCTATTGCAACGGTTTGTGATTATGTAATGGAAAAAGTAGGAGGCGCGCCAAAAATTTCAGCTTCCCTCTACTTTTTTTGGCCAAATATTTTGAACCCTTACACTATTCCAAGGGAAAAAAATAAGGAACCCTTACACGTACTATTTTCTCTCTACTGTACTATTTTCCCCATTTTCCTTCATTCTTCCAATTCTCCATTTTCTCCATTCCTCCATTTCCCCCAATTCTCCATTTCCCCCAATCCTCCATTTCCCCCAATTCTATTAAGCTATTTTAATTAGCAAATCCAAAAACTTCAAATTCTCAATTTTCCCTAAATCTCCGATTTTAAGGCCATAAATTACTAAAAAATTACTTATAATTTCTTGAAAATTCTGAGAGGAAAACTTAGTGAAGTAGAGGAAGGCGGAACTCAAGAGGTGGCTGGTTGTTCGAACTTCAGGTAACGTTTAATTGCTCAAGAGGCGGCGTAATTCAAGTGGAGAAGTTCCATTTTTGTCTTGCATGTCCCTGTGGCTGATATTTCGACTCTGAGTTCAAGTATACAACGATTCTTCATTTCAGAAATTTCTTAATTGAAATTTTTGTTGTTGCATTTTGATAAATTAAATTTTAAATTTTTATTGCTGTCTTTGAGAAGTTGTATTTGAGGCTATGGAATATGGAATTTTCTTTATCTTTGAGTTTTAATTTCAGGTTTTTTTTCCTCAAACTTTACTGTGAAAATGCTATACATTGTTGGGGTATGTTTGGTTGAATTTGTAGTTGTTTTTGCTCGAATTATATGGGGGGAAAATGCTGTGATTTTCTGGTGTATATTGTACTCGAAATTTCGGGTGTTACTGCTTGATTTTGATAAATTAAATTTTAAATTTTTAATTCACAAATAGATGCAATTCTATATAAGCGAGAATAGAGTTAACTAATTTAAGAGTTCAGAACAGTTACCCATGTTTTCCGTTAGTTTGAGCATCACGAAAACAACTAACAACATGAAGCCAACCATAAGACCCATAGGGCACTTCACTAGAGACAGAGGTGAGAGGGGTTCCCTTTTCTGTGGTTAGCAAAGCATGACCAATTGTGTGAGATTCACTGTTGGATAGAATGATACATTGTTGGATAGAATGATACTCCGTGATAAACAAGACTAGTTCATGGCTTACCTCATAGAGCCAAAGTAGTATTCCTCTCTCAAGGGCTCCAAAGCCAACTCAGACAACCCTCTTATGGTTTCCGTCAATGCAGCCTGGACTATTCCAGGGATTCTAGCACTAACATCAACACGAACCTACATAAACAACATGAAAAAAAATACTAAAAGTGATTACCCATACCTCCAAAAAAATAAAAATAAAAAAACCCCATAAAATAGACATACCGGTGAAAAGAAATAACCAGTTGCAGCCACTTCAATTAGATGAGTGCTAGTTGGAACATTATGGCTTTAAGCATAGTAAAGGAATAATTTATAGAGCAAGAGACAATTAAGTATTAGTGAATTTATTCTTCACCCATTAGCATATGTATGAATCACAATTCAAGCAAGACATTTACGATTGATCCAAAAGGAATGGCCCTATCCCTACAGATTTATATGAAGTCTTATAATGAAATAAACTGTATTGAAAATAAACATAAAATTTAAGAGTACACTTTGTAGGATCTACATGGTAGGATACAATTAAAAATATCCACCAGGCCTAAAAAATGTAACCCTTTGATCACCATTTCACTTTGATATTTGAAGTCTTTGCAGGCAAACCAAAATCTCTAGTTCCAAAATCTGCAAGGAAAGATGTAGTTGAGTTTGTTGGATTTTTTTGTCAACATGAACCATAACATTATGCAAGGAAGCATCATCAGCACAGAAAAAAGTAATACGATATGGGGATGTGATCCTAATTTATAAAGTTGAAAGCAATAATTTTAGTTGTTGACATAACTATGTATACTATAACATAGCTTTCACATACAAGCAACAATGTGTGTCATGTCACTCACCCATTTTAAATCAGGAAATCTTAATCACTGTGTCCTATTAAAAATGAAAATGACAGAATAATGACCAATAACTTTCAACATTTGATAAATAGGATGCCATGTAGATACTCCTTATATCCAATTCTTATAGCATAATTTATCTTGAAACAACCATTGACTCGATTTATGTACTTCAATTCCACTTTTTGATCTGAACTGAGTCCTCTGCATTTGTTTATATATGTTTCTGATCTTGAAAATATTATGGGCTTAATATCATATATTTTATGCATTTTTAGTTTACTTCATCTATGATCTGAATTAGATATTCTGATTTCAAAATAAAGCCACTAATTTTGATTATTGAGGATACAAATTTGTCTAATATATATTGATGATAATGAAAGGTATCAATTTCTTTTGGACTTTTGAATTGATCATGTACATGAAGGGTTCTTAGGTACTTTGGTTGTTGCTGTTTTGATAATGAAAGGTTTCTGTTAGTTGCTGGTTAAGGTTTCTGTCAGTTTCTAATAATGAAAGGTTTTTGTCAGTTTCTGATAATGAAAGGTTTCTGTCAGTGACTCTCTTAACTCTTAGTGAATTGATTAAATGTTTTTATTGTAAAAATTAAGTAAAATAACCCTCTTTATTCTTACCCTAAGGTATGGATAGTGGAACTAAAGAGTAGTGGATGTTTGCCAAATGGAGTGATGAATATGAACGGGGAGCAGTTTGTTTGCAAATGCCCAAGCTGTGGCACTGATGACTTTGTTACCTTTTTCCGCGAGATCCTGCCACCACACGCGAAGGTGCACGCAAAGCAAATCTTTCCCAATGAATGTGTACAAAAGGCTTTTGCTTCTAAGTCTCAAGGAAATCAAATTTGTTGTCCTTGTGAAAGTTGTCGTTATCGTTTTTGGCGTCATGAAGGTGTTGTGAGAGATCACCTTATTTGTAATGGTTTTGTTCCACGAACGGATAAGTTATCAGAGTTAGGGATCAACTTTCAAAGGGAACAAACTGTTTTAGATAATGAAGAAGGGTCAACCCCAAATGATTTTATTGATGACATAGTAGAATTGTTGCATGATGCACATGATGCTTTTAGAAAGGGGCCAAATGACGAGGCAAAAAAGTTTTTCAAGTTAGTTGAAGAGGGCCAGGAAGAATTGTTCCCTGGTTGTAAAAATCATTCAAAACTTTCCTTCATGATCCATCTTTTTATTTTGAAGTGTGATCAAAAGCTAACTAATGTTGCTTTTGGAGATATATTGGAGCTTATAAGGGAGGTGTTACCTGATGCGAAACTGCCAGCTTCTTTTAATGAAGCAAAAGTGTTCTGAAAGTGTTGGGGTTGGATTACACTAAGATAGATGCGTGCCCAAATGATTGCATGATATATTGGGAAGAGCATGATATGAAAATGCAATAAGCTGCCATGTTTGTAAGACGCCAAGATGGAAATCAAATGACACAGAGAATGACATAGAAAATGAAAATGGAAAAACCTATAGGTCCTCAAAAGATTCTTAGGTACTTTCCAATCAAGAAAAGGCTTCAACGACTATTTTTGTGTCAAGAGACGGCGAAATACATGACTTGGCATACTGATGGGCGTGAAAATGATCATCTCTTACATCATCCTGTTGATGGTCAAGCTTGGAAGGAATTTGATTCTGTATACCCAAAGTTTGCTGATGACCCACGCAATGTGAGGCTTGGGTTAGCCACAGATGGATTTAGCCCATTCAATTCAATAAGCATTGTCCATAGTACATGGCCAGTTATGTTGATTAATTATAACTCACTACTACAAAATGCATATAATCTCGACGCTATACCCTCGACGCTATGGAAGACCGTCACAGCTAAATTTAGGATTCCGTGTTTCAACGATGCTTTTATGTGTCATTTTGACTTTCTCGACAACTTTCTACGTCGAGAACATAAAAATTGTCACGTATGCACGTGATATACATTGTAGCCACTAACCAGCGTTTTAGGGTTATCCCCTTTCAATCCTACAATTCAACCGCCACCCTCGACCTCACATCTTCTCTTTCCTCTACTCTCTCTTACGAGTCTCTAGTCTCACTCCTCAAATTTTCATTCTTTGCTTCCAAGTTATGGTTAATGAATTTTTCTACTTTGTATGATCACAAGATCTGAAATCTTCAATGCAGGAATTATCGCAAATTTGCAGGTTCAAATTTTCTTCACATCTCCTTTTCTTAGTCTATTAAAGTCAATCGACAGTTCATTTATGTTAGTCTTCAATTTTATGTAGTTTACTCCTAACATCACTCGTTTTGATTTGTTTTATAGTATAATTGTATAATTTTGTATTTTAATTTGGCTATTTTGAGGTTTTCCCTAATCTGTGTTTATTAAGGGTTTTTTTTTCTCTCATTTATCAATGATTTTGATTTTAGGTTGTTAATTTCTTACTTCTTTTTCAATTTTTTTACAGATCTCGCCTAATATATCATGGATGATGAAGAAATGGAAAAAGCAATGAAGGATTGTGATTGTTCGTGAACTTTTCACACACTAACCTGGATGTCATGAAGCTAATTATCACCAGTACATAAGAGTATATTCTCTCTTCTTTAAATTTATTGTTTTTCCCTAATATTTGAGTATGAATTTCATCGATTTTTTTATGATTTCGGTTTAGTTTTATTTGTTTTTGCGATTTAGTGTTTAAGAACTTTATTGTTAATTAATTGATGATTCAATTGGGCAAATTTACTGTTTAATAAAACATTTGGATTTTCTTTTTGTGAAATCTGGTTTAGTAGCAGGATTATATTTTGATTGTGATATATTTTCTATATTTTTTATATTAATTTATCATGTGCAAAATTTTCTATAACTTTTTCATATAAAACAATCTTTATGGTGAAGAGATGCTCTGCGATTAAATATTTTTGCTCTTGCATTGGTCTGTTGAAATCACCTATCATTTTTAGGATCTAGAGTAATAATGCTGCAAAATCACTTATGATTTTTATGGTGAAGATATGTTTTGCGATTATATATTTTTCTTTTCGTTGTTATATATTTTATTCAAATTTCGTATGAATTTTGGTTTTATAATTGCAATAACACCAATACGTGTGGAATCGAATTTATATACTCCGTTTGAACTATATTTGGCAATTGAAAAGTCAACTAAGAGCTTCGTGTACCTGCTCATAGTATTAAGGTAACAATCGAGTTTTGCTATTTTGTTTTAGGTTTATAGTTTTTCTTTCAAGCATTTTGTCGCACACCTTATAGGTGTATATTTTATATTTCAACTTGATATAATTGGTGATGGTCTTGTAGTGGGTTTTACCTTAGTCATTTCCACATTCATTATAGCCCAGTTAGAATTTTATTGATCTCTGCTCCGTCTAGATTATTATTAGTGATGTTGCTGCCTTCTTTACTTCTGGACAACTTTTAGCCTTCATTGCAGTTCATGAGGTTGGAGTACAATGTATTTGGCACATGTATCCTATAGAGGCGAGTAATGCACTATGTTCGTTCTTCATTTTTATAATCTACTCGTATTATTTAAACTATATCAAGCACAGTTTCTGTTGGTTTTTTCTCTACCTTGTTTAAATAAATATGATAAATATTGACCTATGTTTTCTCTCATTACAATGTCTGCCTGCCTATGTTTACAATCATCCAAATGTGTTTTTATGTCTCCTTGTTTGGTAGAGCACTTCCACTTTAATGCACTCTTTCAATATGTGGTTGTGCTTGCTGGTATATACTAGTCCTTTGGTCTTGCCAATTTATTCCCTTTAATCCAAGCATGTTGAGGAAGAACATTAAATATTCTAAGCATGATATTTTAGATGTAAACCAACTTATTAACCTCATAATTTTTTTGTAAAAGTTTACTTTTTTTTAATCTTTATATGCAAGTTTAGATGTGCTCACTCTTCAATTTCTTGTGTTATGTATTGGTTTATTTATGGCAGGGTTGATTTGCGTTTAAGAAGGGTTGTTTTGCAGGAAGCCAAATCCGGCTCAGCAGATTGGGACTAAAAACTTGAGTAAATGTATAGGTGATTTATCCTTTACCTCTTGGATTGCTTATTAGTGCGAATGCATAGACACAAGACTACAAGAGGCCACCCAACCTAGATAAGCTTAAGAGATGGATTCATGAAATTGCATAGGTTTCCACTCCTGAACAGGTAAAAAAAACCCGTACAATGTATTCTTCCAAACCTTGCAGCCTTTGTAATTTCACTAGTTGTTTTGATGTATAGTAAAACTTCTTGCAGCTATGGAGCAGAGTTTCGCCTGTTGATCTGAGTCCTGAAAGGAGGCTGCCTTAATATCTAGTCAAGTAGTATCTACAGAAGCATTGCGGTGTCAAGTTATTCCACTAAGAATGTCTTACCAGATCAGCTACACACTTGCATAAGAAAGAAGCTGCAAAATATATAAAATGATACGGAGTAGTAGTCTTCTTCTTTTTTCTTAATCTAAAAATGTTATAGTAGATAAGCATATTGTATGTAATTTTGATTTGTTTATCAGTGTTTATGCGGTTAATATAAGAAAGAATTATGAATAATTTAACTTTAGAGATGTAATTTTTGGTACTTAACTATATCTAAATATAACTTGATTTTTAGCATCTTTTATCTAGCTTATTTTTGGTATATTTTGATTATTTTCTTAGTAATAATATAATTATTTGTCACTTTTTAATGTCAATAAACATTCCCGCATATTGGATACATTTACAAAGAGTAAGGACTACAAAAAGCGTCGCTAAATTTTAAAATATGGACAGAAAAAGCGTCGAAAAATAGAGGACATCTAACATATGACAAATAAAGTGTTGCAATTTTGTGATTATAGACAAATAAAAGCGTCGCCAAACCTAAGATATTGCGCGAACTAACAGATGTTTCGACGCTTCGTATAATAATTTGGACAATAAAAAGCGTCGAGAATGGCGACGCTTTTAGGCGTCCATCAAATTTCTCGACTCACGTTTTTTCCGACGCTTTTTTAAAGCGTCGAGAAAAAATATTCGACGCTTTTTTGTGTCGAAAACAAGCCTTAAAAGCGTCCAAAAACCACGAAATTTCTAGTAGTGACTTGCCTCCTTGGATGATTATGAAGCCTGAGTTTTTGATGCTAGCCTTACTAATTCCCGGCCCATCTTCCCCTGACATTGACATATATTAGCAGCCACTTATCAAGGACTTGAAGGATTTGTGGGAGTTAGGATTGGAAACTTATGATGCTTCGACTAATCAAAGGTTTGACATGCATGTAGCATTGATGATTACCGTGAGTGATTTTTCGGGTTATGCAATGTTATCTGGGTGGAGCACAAAAGGATACTTGGCATGCCCTGAATGTCATTATGAAACATCTTCTGAGTGGTTGCCTTGTAGTGGTAAGACTGTGTATAGGGCAAATCGTAAATTTTTGGATCCATCTCACCCTTGGCGTCATGATAAGAGGAATTTTGACGAAAAACTTGAGGAAAGATGTCAACGTATTCCATTGAATGGAATTGATATTGAGAATATGTTGCGTGATTTTCCAAATGCATTTGGAAAGAAGCAAAAGAAACCAAGGCGTGATGTGGATGATCCGAATCCGTGGAGAAAGATACCCATATTTTTTGAGTTACCATATTGGAAGCATTGCTCTAATCACCATAATCTTTATGTAATGCATATTGAGAAAAATTTCTTTGATAATATCATTGGGGCATTATTAGACATTTCTCTAAAGACCAAGGATAATGTGAGTGCTCGTCGAGATTTGGTATAACATAATTTGATGCCAGAGCTTCAACCAATTGAATTGGAAGATGGTAGTGAAGAATTTCCAAGATCTCGCTTTTGGATGTCATTGGAGCAAAAGCGTAAGTTTTTCCAGGTTATAAAAAATGCTAAGCTTCCTCAAGGTTACGCTTTAAACCTGAGTCGTTGTGTGCAAGTTGGAGAAAGGAAAATAGCAGGCTACAAAAGTCATGATGCTCATTTTATGATGAATTATCTTCTTCTAATTGCTGTGAAGACAACATTACCCAAAGATGTTGCTAGTCCTTTGATAAGGCTTTCTGCTTTTTTCAAAGGTATATAGAGTAAAACTATTGATCCTCGAGATCTTGATAAATTGCAATCTGAGATAGTTGAAACTCTATGCCTACTTGAGAGGATTTTTCCACCTGCTTTTTTTGATATAATGGAACATTTAGCCATACACATGGTTGACCAAATTAAGTTGGGTGGACCTGTGAGTTCAAGGTGTATGTATGGAATAGAGAGGAATCTTCATGAAATGAAACAAGATGTTCGACACAAGGCTCGCCCAGAAGGCTCAATGGAAGAAGGATACCAAGCTAAAGAATGTGTTGCTTTCATAGCTAGATTTTTTAAACGATCAAGCAAAGCCACACCTGAAGTTAATGAGTGTGGTACCTCAAAATCATTTTTCCCTAAGGTAGGACATCCTATCAAAGGAAAAGGAAGGACCTCAAAGAAAAAAAATCGTGGAAACATAATTGATCGCAATACATTGGCACAAGCAAATCGTTATGTCTTGTTCAATTGTCATTGTGAGGAAGTTGAGAAATATATAAGGTAAGATTTTAATCAAAATTTAGGTTTATTAATATTTTTTAATAAAATGTCTTCATTCTAACTCTAGTGCGTTAGTAAGAGAAATATTTTTTTTACAGTGAGCACAAGATTTGTGTAATGCTAAAAGGAAAAGAAAATGGAAAAGTGCTCAAGACCATAGCAAGGATTTCATGGATTGGTTGAGGGAGAAAGTTGATTTGATTCTTAAAGATGGCCATTATAATATCCCGGACCATATTTTGTGGTTATCAAAAGGTCCCTCTCATGTTGCCAAAAAGTACACAGGATACTCGGTTAACGGCTATAGATTTCATACCATGAAGCGAGATGCAAACTACGTAACTCAAAATAGTGGTGTCACTCTAACAGCCATTACACATAGCTTTGCAAGCTCCAAAGATCAAAATCCTATTGTGGGAAATGTTAATTATTATAGTTCAATAACTGAAATCATTGAGATATCTTATCATGGTCATTTCAGTGTTGTCTTATTTAGATGTCAATGGTTTCACTCAGAGAAGGATGATGATGAGCTTTTTACGGTTAATATGAAAAAGACCGTTTCTAAAGAAGAACCTTTCATCTTAGCAACTCAATCACATCAAGTGTTTTATGTGGAAGATTTGAATAGAGAAGGTTGGCATTATGCTGTTCAAATCCCTCCTAGAGAGTTTTCAGATGGTATTGACATACATTATTTTAATACTTCACTAAATGTTATTTTACATACATAATAAACATACTTCCATTTTTTTTACATTGCAATTTATTTCAGTTTATTATATTTACATGGCAATTTATTTCAGTTTATTATATTTACATACATAATTAACATACTTCCATTTTTTTTCCAGATGAAACCGAGTAGACCCAAAGTTCCTACTTCCCAAAGTCAGCTTACTGAATATGAGTTGTAACTTCAAAAACTGAAATTCAATGCAGAGAGAATGGAAGCCTGAGGATCAGCATCTGTAGCTAATAAGATACTTCAAGAAAAAACAAAAGCCTTAATTTGTCCAAGTGCAAGGCAGAATAGTATACCAAAAAATGAAGATGATGACTCTACGTCGGAATATGATGGTGAAAATGAGGTTGAAACTGATGACGTTATGGAAGGTGACAATGTCACTTCTGGAAAAAGAAAAGCTTGTAAGCAGGTGTTCACTTCTATTTTGTCATTTATACACACTGTTTTATATTGTTTTTCACGGTTTACATGCAATTAGTAATGCTATAATTTCCTTTTTTTTATAGGTTTCAAAGCAAGTAAAGAAATCATCATTTCGCCCTAAAACTATGGCTGATGTTGTGGAAGTGAACAGCCGTAAGAAGCATGCAGTTGATGAAGTTCAGAACATTTACTCAATTGAGGTTGCTAGTGTTAAAGATCAACGCATCCAAAAGAAGCAGCAAGTTATCTCAGAAAAGAAGGGAAAAAAACGAGTGTTTTGCTCTCCTGGTTCTATGTCAGCGTACCTTGAGTTCCGAAAAAGGCAAAAAGAAAATAATGATGGGTTTGTATCAAGAAATCAGTCTTTGAATAATTCTTTGACAAGAAAAGCAATGAATAATGGCGTTGCATTTAATGAAAATAACAATGATGATGCTGATGTACTAAGTGAGAATGATGAAGTGGATGCACTAAATGAGAATGATGATGATGCTGGTAATGAATATGAGGGTGATAAATAATTAAAAGATGAAGTTCAATTTCAGTTTGGAAGCGAAGGAATGCAAGGTATTTGCAATCATTTTACGTAGTATTATTTATTTTAGCTTTTGTTAACATGTTAAAGTCTGGTGAATTGTTTTTCTCTTATTATATCTGGATTTGTTTACTAAATGGGCTTAAATTTATTTCAAGATTTATGAAATATTGGAGTACATTGTGAGTTGGATTCTGCCAGTCGCTGCCTTAGTAATTAGCTGACCAGTCAGTATTCGAAATCGAGTTATCTTTGAAAATTTGTTTTGTTTTGTTGTTAGAGCTAATATGTTTGTCTTCTATTTATTGAGGATTTGTTGTTGTTATTCTTTGTTGTTGTTGTTTCCTAGGCTTTGCTGTTTGTTGGTCTGCTGCTGCTGTTCAAGTGCTCTATTGCATGCTTATTATTTTTGTGATCTGATTTTGTTATTTGCTAGCCTAGGCTGTTCACACTCACCTGTACAAAGCATTTAGGAATCTATATGAAACATGGGCAATCTCATAGAGTTAATTTACTTAGAATATGGAATAATAGATAAATTAGCAAGAAAGTCCTTCATAATAATCATAGACATATTAAGAGAAAAAATAAAATAAACATCTGAGCATTTGTTTGTGCAGTGGAAAAGCTGTGTCTATAGCCACATTGAAAACTACTTAAATTCTAAATCAGTCATAAGGAAGCAAGCATAGAATAAAACCAAGATAACCCCATGATCGATTTTGCCGCACATAATGGTGGGGAAGTGAATGCTTATTTATAGTTAAGTTAAAATATAACAGAATTTTAAAAGTACTTACATTAATGTCACTTTAGGTAAAAGTAAAAATGTAAAAGTAAAAAACAAAGGGCTACCATTGATAATTGATTAAAAAAAATTGGCTACCAATAGAAAAAAATAAAAAATAAAAACTTAGAAAACCGCAGGTCTGTGAGCTTTATCAGCAAAAGAACTGACAATTTCTTTACAAGATCAACATGCTTGTAGTACCTTTATGACCACTGATCTCAATTTATAGAAAGCAACTGTACAACTTTGGAATATAGCAATCAACAGGCAGCTTATAATTTATTAGGACAAATCATAATCACTGTACAAATTTAACAACAAAGCCACTAATCCACAAACCTTTGGAATATAGCAAGCAACTGAAAGGATTAAAAGCGATACGATCATAGTGCACCTGAACGACCTCATCAATAGTTAGTAGAGTCCCTTCATGACCACTGATCTCAATGGTTTTAGAAGATTGTAACAAGTCTATCAGTTTCTGCTTACATGTGTACATAGTGCACTTAGACCTCGAAGAGAATCTTTGAGTCTTGAATCATATCATATTCCTAATAATTCAGGTCCATGCAGCTCAAAACAAGAAAACAAAATTACACTACACCTGCTTCAAAATACGTAACTACTAGCTTCTGCCTTGGGTGTTGCTTGTTGCACTTCCTGAATTAACTGCCGTAGCATCTGTATCAGCTAATTATATTTATGAAGATCACCTAAATCAAAATCAAACCACCCAACACCTTAATGCTTCCTGTATTGAATAAGTAATCTGGCTGTATAGAGTGTCTGACCAGAAGTTACTGAAATGTCCTTCACGTTGGATTCATTTTTGAATTCTTTCTATAGATGTTTATAAATATACTTGAGAAGTATTATCAAGGTTCCTTAGGTTTTCAATAGATGTTTATAAATATACTTCAGAAGTATTGTTTATCACTCATACTGATTCTTTTCTTGTCTCACCACACAAATTCTGTCTAAGAACCTCTTGATTTAGAACCTAAAAAAGCTCCTAAAAGCAAAAGGCATCGAGGTCCAACAATGCTACCCAAGGTTCATGCACGAACTAGAGGAGAGCGTGAAGTTATTGTTTTAAACTCACTGGGCCAATCAATTGGACCTACATGTGAAATTGTTCAGGAGTTCAAGCAATTCTTGGAAACTGTGGCAAGGGATTCTGAACTTGCACCACTAAATTACATTAAGTTTCCATGTCTACCCACACTTGACAAAATGTGGGAGTATGTCCAAGTATGTAGTAATATAATTCTTTAGCTTAAGTTTGTTGGATTTCATTTTAAAAAAATGCTTCATATTTTGTTACTAGACCATAAATAATTATATATTCATGATTTGTGTAGAAAAAGTATATGGTTCCTGAAGCTGGAAGAGAATGGGTGATGCAAGCTATCAATGGAAGCTGGAAAGATCATAAATGCTTGACTAAGAAGAACTTCTTCTATGCATATCCCACTGATGCTTTAAGATGGTTTCATAAGCCAGACACAATTTCAGAACCTCAATTTAGAGAGCTTTTGCAATATTGGCATTCTAAAGTGGCCGAGGTATTATGTATATGGTTTTGAAATGTTTTGTGCAATATTGACATAGTTTCATGACCTTAATAGCCTATTTCAGTTTACTTTTTTATGATTTATTTACATGGTTCAAAATTTTTAAATCTTTATTGTGTTATAACATAGGAAATCAGTAAGATCAACAAAGACAATCACCTAATTTTAGATGACATGTACACTATGGGCCGTAACTCTTACGCAATTTTACGCCATGAGTTGGTAAAATAATTCATCTCATTTTTAGACACTTTTATTATCTTTATAATCATTATTTTACAATAATTACATGTACTACATGAGGCTTTCACCCATATCCTTTAATTATTTGTAATCACTTTAATATTATGTATAATGTTTCACAGAAACAACAAGATCCTGATAAACAAGAACCTTCTCAAGCTAGGATCTATAAGGAGTCAAGGAAGAGAAAAGTGGGAAGGACATACCTTACCAACCATGAAAATATAGCAGAAAATATTGTGAGTTAACATGCATGTTAGATCTATGTTATATATGTTTTGTTTTGATAAATAATAATCACGTGGCTTTATTTTCCTAATATAGGCTAAAACGGATGCTTTGGAGTCTTCCCAACATGAAGATGGTAGTAGCTCTAAGGACCCTTAATCCGAAGTGATTCCAGAACCTAAGCGTAAAAGCCGTGTACGCCTACAAGGAAAAGGTGTGAAAAAGTCAGATTTGAAGAAAAAAGAAAAAAAGTCAGATTTCATATTCCCGGCGGAATTCTTAGAAAATATGCAAGCTTAATTAGTAAAAAACTTGCACCAAGCGTAACAACTGCAATTTTGACTCAACTTCAGGATGCTAACCCCGGGATCAATCTTGTCATTCCTGATTTTTCGATTCCATCGGCTCCAAAGGATGCGTGTAGTGCGCCATATCTTCTACTTGACCAAAATAGGCAATCTTCTAAATCTGGGGCTACATTTAATCAGGTAACATAAATTATTTTCTGTTGCTTCTGTCCAAATTTAGTTTATGCTATTGACCTGATTCTGCCGTAGCTACTGTTGAAATATATGTTGTTGTTGATGTATTTTTATGATGCACACTTTTGCTTTATTGCTTTTATTTCTTTTTAATGGTTGATTCTTTTGTTGTTTGTTGTTGCTTTTATTATTGTATGTTGCTGTTGTTGATGTTCATTCTTTTGGTTGGTTTTGTTGGCCTTACGTTTCCCCCCTTTTTTCACTTATATACACAAGTCCCCGAACTGATTTAGTAGCTGGTTTTGTCTTCACTTGCTGCACAACTCATCAATTGTCGTTGCCCTGTTCTGTACCCATGACCAGCTACTGTAGTTGCTTATTTTTCTTCACTATCTGACCACAGTCACAACAGAGCAGTCACTCCTCCTACCATGTTGCTCACCCCCTTAGTGGAGTATTTTTCTTCACTCGCCTCAGAATTTATAGGCTGCACGATCATAAGCATAAGCATATATTATTTTTTTTGGTGTTGATCAGTCAAGTGTACAACCATATATTATTTTTTTTGGTGTTGATGATGCTGATACTGAATCTCTTATATCATCAGTTGGTTTTGTAAACCTGTTGTAAATGGTGTTGTAATCTCTAATAATTCTTGATGATTTATTTGTACCAAGATTTTTTTTTTTTGACAGCTAGAAAAAAGGGAGGTTAATCCCTAAACTTAGTGAATCTAACAGAAATACAAAGAAAATAGGGTACAATGTCATCAATTTTCTTTTCTATCATCCTATCCCCTAGCATACTAATATGATCACTTTGCATCCACTTGAGAATTCTCCTGTCTGCAACCTCAATAATCAAGTGCCAAAGCTGCAGTCTTAGAGCTTCTTCCAGGCCTCTGAGAATCACACTCAGAATTTCAGCTTCACAGTTCTGTTGTTGCTGCTGATTTTCCCCCCGTTTGAAAGTGACACCATCAGAATTCAGGAGCCATTCCCATTTTCTTTTCTTCCCATTCCTTCGATTGTGAGAAATACCTAATGTGATAGTGCTGCAAACCCCAGCTCCTGTAACTAATTGTATATTGTCTATGTGTTGACAACATTGCATATATCTGAATTAAAGGCCTGTTGATTGTCCTGTTCTTGCTCAAACCCCGGAGGACCTGACTTAGAGCTCCTTGAGTGCAAAAACCTAGATTTTGCGTTATGAAAATTAGAGTAAAGAAAGCTCATTATTCTTTCCAAATAAATGATAGTACCAATAAAATTAAAACAGAGGATTTTTGCATAGTTTCTAGACAAAAATTGTCCATTTTTCAACCCATTGGTGGGTCTGTGCTCTTAATTCTTTACACCACTTTCTTATAATAATATGTCAAAAGCTATAGTTGTATTATTTTTATTGTTGTGCTTTATGAATACTACAATTTTGTTGTGCTTTATGAGTTTCCTTAATTCGGTTCTATTATTTAGTTAAATTATTTAGTCACATTATTTTCTATTGTTTAGTTCTATTATTTTATTCTTTTTTACGTGTAGGTGCATGGTGAGCAAAATGGAGATGAAGTATAGTGACTAGATGACTAGCTAGTCATCTAACAAATGGTGCAAATATTTTGGCGACTCCTATTCTATTAGTTCAAGTACGTTGTGAATGAAGATTTGAAAAATTCGGCTTACTATTACTCATTTTTGTACTTGCTGTTTTATTTTCTAATTATTTTTTCAATTAAATAAAGAGAAGGAAAGAAATAGATAGAATATAGAATTCGATTATAGAGTAGGAATTCTCTTATCCCATTCGGAAGGACCTCATTTCATAATTATCCATGACTGTTTATGTCTCTAGCACGACCACTTGATGAAATGTGGAGGGAAGTGGAGTAAATGGCCGATACTACTGGACGAATTCCTCTTTGGATAATAGGTACTGTAGCTGGTATTCTTGTGATCGGTTTACTAGGTATTTTCTTTTATGGTTCATATTCTGGATTAGGCTCATCTCTGTAGTAAGTAGTAATTTGATTAATCGAGGTATAGACATGAAAGTATAAGAACTCAACGGGACCTTCCTTCCCCTCGAATTAGACAAACAAAGAAGGGGGAGGTCCCATTTAATTCTTTTTTTAATTATCATAATTTTTTATTCGAATTTTTTCCTATAAATGAAAAACAGACCCCTTTTTCGATGTTTTTGAAAAGTGTATTTGGTTATTCAGAACATATATTCCTCGATCATACTTATTGGTCCTTCCTAAATTGTTAAGTTAAAAGAAAGAGAAAAAGGCAATCAATTGATTTATTGAATGACCAAATAGAAGCTCTATTTTTCTAGATTAAATAGAATGCAAGAAGTTCCATTTGTTCAAGAAATTGACCTCTCTCTTTTTTTCAGTTTGTCCGCTCCTTATACATGTAATACTAAGAAAAAAAGAATCAATCTAAAACGAAAAAAGGGTGAAATTTCGAAAAAAGAAAAATTCCGACTAAGTCTTTGACGAAGGGAATCAAGACTCGTTACTATTTCGACACACGACAAGTATGTGTAAAAGTCCTTGTCGTGTGTCGAAGACCGGGAAGGCGGATAAATCCCCCTAGAATCATTTGGTCCCCTCATTATTCTTTTCGTTATATTCCCCTTTTAGTCTAGTATCGAGTCAAATTTCGATTGGAAAAAAGTAAAAAAGTTTTCTTCACAATCCAATATATTATTATAACTAAAAATCTTGCTCGTAGATGTAGAAGAAAAGTATAAACAAACAAAAAAGAACCTTCTCGTAATTTTTTTATTTATTGATCATCCAAAACTGTCAAAGAATTGTCAACAATAATTTTGTTATTGTTACAAGCTTGATCTTGATAAATTTACGAATCTAGAAATTCATTTCGGACAATTGAACCTTCTCGAACTGTTTCTTTTTAAGAACCAAAAAGATTTGTATAGAATAACGGATGCAAAGAAGAACAAAAGCCCTTGTACGCGCAGTGAATCTTGAAGGACTATTTCTGCATCTCCTTGACCAAATCCACCCACATTAGGATTACTCGTTAATGGTTGATCAAGCTTGATAGATTCACCCTCTGAAACAAGAAGCTCCGGTCCTGGCGGGATAATATCAACCACTTCACGTCCGTCCGAGGCATCCGCTATGTTTATTTCGTATCCGCCCTTTTCTTTTCGTACAATTTTCTTTACTATACCTGCTGTTGTGGCATTATAAACTGTATTATTACTCTTGCTTCCGTCAGGATAAATCTGACCCTTCCCCTGTTACCACCTACATATATCGGATATTTTAAGAAGTAAACGTCTTTCTTAGTAGCAGGGTCTGGAGAAAGAATAGGAAAGGTAATTTCACTATATTTTTGCCCAGGAACAGGACCTATCACAAGAATATTTTTTTTATTGGGGCGATAGCTCTGAAAAGAAAGATTCCCTATCTTTTCTTTCATCTCTGGAGAAATACGGTCGGGGGGGGGGGGGGCTAATTCAAACCCTTCAGGTAAAATAAGAACAGCCCCCACATTCAAACCCCCCTTTTTGCCATTAGCAAGAACTTGTTTTAATTGCATATCATAAGGAATTCGAACAACTGCTTCAAATACAGTATCCGGAAGGACCGCTTGTGGAACCTCAATATCCACGGGCTTATTGGCTAAATGGCAATTAGCACATACAATACGTCCAGTCGCTTCTCGTGGATTTTCATAACCTTGCTGTGCGAAAATGGGATATGCATTCGAAATGGATGACCGAGTTATTATATATATCACGAGCGAGATGGAAATGGATCGAGTAATCTGTTCTTTTATCCAAGAAAAGGTATTTATAGTTTGCATGGTACAACCATTGATTCCGAAAATTTCTACAATAAATTTGGTAGGTTGCTAATAGAGTTCCCTATCCATGAGTCTGCTATTTACTTTAACTGAAAACTTAATTTATTAAAATAATATAATATTACTGGAATATAGGAGGAACTCCCTGCCTTAGACGGGTAGAAATAGAAAGAGGGGGTACAATTGGTCATGCTTTGATTATTGATTATGTACAAAGCAACATTCGAATTAAAAACTCCAATTAGATTTCTCTCCATATACCCCTTTTCTTTTTTTCAGTCATTCATTGAATGATAAATCACTACAAGTGATGGGGATACGCGATTTAAAGAACGGAAAATCCAATATTTTAAAAATGTATCTAGAATGACTGGAAAAGTGGAAACAAGACTCGATATAATTTGATCGTTATGGACAAATCCAAAATCTTTGTAGATAGAGCTAATCAGTAGTTCCCAACCTTGGGGTGAATGAAATCCGATACATAAATCGGTTACTAAAAGAATGGAAAAAGCTTTTATTGTGTCGCTTAAGTTATATAGGAATTCCTGAACCCAAGAATTAAGAAGAATAAGTTCTTTATTTGCCAGAATGGAATAACCACCTAGAATAAGGAAACAGATTAAATTTGTGGAGAAGTGCAAAATCATATGGATACAATCTTCATTGTACGTCTTGATCAATTGAATCGTTTCATTGTGGATTCCTATACGAAGCTTTTGTAGATGTGTTTCCGGACATTCCTTTATCATTTCGTCCAACAAGCGGAGCTCCTCGAATTCGATCCATTTTTCGCGAAGATTTTTTTCTTGAATATCATTCAAAAAAGTTTCAGATTGCTTAGTATTCCACCAAGTAGTAACCCAAGATTCCAGACTTTTTTGAAATGATAGATAGATCCACCAGGGTAAAAATACTATAGATACAAGATATAGAAAAGGAATAAATGCTTTCTTTTTTTCCATTTTTTTTCATCTATAAATTGTTAATGAACCCAACCGGGTATTCATCGAAAGGAAGGAATTGCTTTCGACGAATACCCGGCGGAGCCATTTCGTTTTTTTCAATTAATGAATATTTTTTATTTTGATTTCAAGATGAAAGAACTCACTTTCTACCAAAATAGAAAATATTTCCAAAAATTGAACAAATTAACCATAGCACAAAAAAAGAATTTAAGACTTGAATGTGATAATAAAAATGGATGGCAAAACACGACAGAATTTGGATAATTTAATTCTCGTTATAATTAGAAATTATAAGAAATCAAATTATTTCATCATTAAAGCGAACAAAAGATTACTAAAAAAAGCGAGAAAATTTACATGATTAATTTGTTTTGTATGTAATATATCAATTACAAATACTGGAAATTCTATGGAATTGAATTGGTTTGTATTTGTAGACATAAACTCCCCCCTTTGGTTGTTCTGTATACGTCTGCTTTGACCCGAGTGGGCGTTCTGATGAGATTTCTGTTAAGGTATGCCGTAGAAAAACGTATTCTAGATTTTCTATTTTACGCCAAGTTAAGAAAACGTTCGGTCTTTCCGTTCATTTTTCAAAATCCTTCAATTGGGACACGCAAGAAATAGGCCAATTCAGCCGCCTTTTGTTCCATTTCTCGTGGAGTCAAATTCTCATCAGTACGAGTTAAAGGAATGGCTCCTTGTCCTCTGATTTCCAGATAAAGAACACGGCGAGTATAAATACCTTCTTTAAGTTCTATTTTAATAGACTGAATATCTTTTATAAGATATCGGAAAAAGATGCGACGATTTTTTCCAGGGAATCCCCAGCAAAAAATACAGACTATTCCCTTTTTTCTATCGAATCGATCATAACCACTACCCACATTCCACGAAATTGCACACCACAAATATGAGCTAATAAAGAGGCCTGCAATCCCATAGAAAAACATCACGATCCCTTGTGGAAAAAAAAGAATTTGCTGGGGAGGAAATAAAGATATCAAATTCTTACCAAGATAGCTGGAAATTCCAACCAACAAGAATCCTAATGAACCGAAAAAAAAGGATAAAGGCCCAGCAGAAATTACTTATTTTTCGAGATCCCGTTATAAGTTCTACCCATATACGTTCTGATCGCTAATTCATACTAGATCCGGTTGCATTTAATTTGAATTGAAAGAATACCCCAAATGAATTGTACTTTCCTTACTCTGTCTTGTTTCCGATGTAACTCTCATCAACTAGTCCTATTTTGATGTCAGAGGTGTTTCACTTTTATTTATTTCTATTTTTTATTTTAGTTCGATCAAAATAATAACATCTACCCCTATATTGTATTGTCATTTTTCCATTTACATCACATACATAAGAGCTCGTTCATTTATGTTCGGAAGAAATCACGTGTTATACCATTCCGCTAAACATATATCTATATTATAATTCAAGTCTAAGTTTTTAAAAATGAGATTTTGACGAGACGATCTAAACAATCTTATTTTTTTGAACATGAAGAAATAAAGAAGCCATTGCAATCGCTGGAAATACTAGGCCTACTAAAGGCACAAAAATTGAGGGAAAGTTCATAGTTGTCATAGACCGGGTACCTCGATTTACGATATTGTAATTGTACCTGTTTGTTATATTTTTGTTGTTATTATCTTATTATATTAAAATTAATTAATTAGAATTCTATAGAATGAATATAGTATAGAATAAGTACAAGAAATGTAGAACTAAAAAAGCAATTCGATTTCTACATATAATATATGATAATCGCGTTTACTTTCTCTTTTTTTCTTTCTTTTGCTTATACTAATTCAAAAAAATCGAAAAATAGAGGATTTATTATAAATTCAATTTCCAAAGCAGTCGTTAGAGTCCGATCCAAGAGGTATTTTAAATAAAGACTCCCCGACGAAAGATACAACCAAAAAGTTTTTTTTATTGGAATCTAAAGGAAATAAGCATGGAGGTTTTTGGTTCGCGACATCCTAATTTTGGAATAAAAAAAGCTTTTTGACACAAATATAAAAATTGCCCTTAATCCTCGCCTTTATTTTGATTCAAAGGAAAAAAAAGCATGCAGCTGAAATAACTCACTTAGAACGCCTTTTAAAAGATTACGTGGTACGATTGGATCGAATAAACCCTTATGGAATAAAAACTCGGCTGCTTGTGACCCTTCAGGTACTGTCTTATTCAATGTTTGCTCAATTACTCTTTTACCCGCAAATGCAATGTAGGCGTTCGGTTCAGCAATAATGATATCCCCCAACATACCAAAGCTGGCGGTCACCCCACCAGTAGTAGGAGATGTAAGGATTGATACATAAAATAACTTTTTATTTGATTGATAATCATATAAAACAGACGAGATTTTCGCCATTTGCATTAAGCTCAAGCTTCCTTCTTGCATGCGTGCCCCCCCGGAAGCACATACTATAATAAGGGGGATTAATTTATTGGCAGCATACTCAATCAATCGGGTGATCTTTTCCCCTACTACGGATCCCATACTGCCTCCCATAAACTGAAAATCCATAACACCAATTGCTACAGGAATACCGTTTAGTTGACCTATACCTGTTTGAACAGCTTCAGTTAAACCTGTATTTATTTGAT